TTCCCCGACAGATGTTGTGATGGTCCTCACACCCTGAGGCCACAGGGGAGGTGTAGGTGCCTTTTGCCTCCCTTGCCGCAGAGTCTTGTTCCGGCCCCTGCAAGCCCGAGCTGCAGACCCACAAGAGGGCGGTCGGGGTTGCGTTTTCCCCTCCAGGGCCTCCTCTTCCACTGAGGATCCTCGCCAGGCTCATCACTCCCGGCTGCTGTGCCCACTTACCGCTCCTTTCTCCAGAGCACGTAACTGGCGCTCTGCTGTGCCACGACACATACAGCTGTCAGAAAACGGCTCCTGCGGCTGCAGCGGCTTCCCACCACAGAGCCGGGGCATTTGCGGTGTGTGGGGCAGCCTGGTCCAGAGCTGCACCAGCCAGCAGGCCCTTGGATCCTGTGGCTCATCGGGTTGGGGTTTGTAGGATCAGGGTGTCCACAAAGTTTATGCTGTTTTTTAAATGTTAAAGCTTCTTCTCCTATTTTTTTTTTTTTCTGAAGTTCAGAGTGATCATATTAAAAATAGATACAATATATTAGACAAAATTAAATCTCTCCATCTGAGCTCAAAGAAATGTCACATCGTTATCAGTGTTGAACTCAGCTTTAAGACCACAGTTACCACAAGTTTCACTCAGATACCATTGGCATACTGTCATTAGTATTATATAGTTATGTTTTTGACAGCTCTTGAAATTGCCTCATTTCTCTGTTCCCACCTCCCTCACTTTTTTCACCCCTCTGAAACTAGGGCCACGCTTTGCCACTTCCCCCTCCTGCACAGCACAGCCCGCAGGTACAGAAGCTTCCCACCTGTCCTCCTCTCCAGTTCCTCCACCCAGTCCCTTTCTGCTCTCCCTCCTGCCTGTGTTCATCTTCTCCCCTCCTTACCTCCTCACCCTCTTGTGCATCAAAACCCCAGCTTCTCTGACATACAACTTAACCTCCTCTTGCCTCTCCCAGCATGATGCCATCTCTCCTTACCTCCAAACACTCTGCGCTTTCACTGTCTGGAGTTGTTTTACTCCAAAGCTACCCAAGATCCTTCCTAGTTTGGCATTGTTTGGTGTTTTAGGTACATTCTACAAGCAGTCAAAGCCAAAAGTTTATGTTTTGTTTTATTTTCTGAAAGAAAATACTGCACTGGGAAGGCCAGTCCATGTCAGCCATTCAAAAGCAACTAAAAGGCAGCAAAAAAAAAAAGTTTTCTCTTCTGCATTTGACCCTGTAGAAGCTGCAGTTGCAAAGTGCTTTTCATACTGCTGTATGATATCAAGAAGCATCAGCAAACAGCAGCCAAAGTCCCAGCCCTTTGGTCATGCAGGACCTTGAGGCTCCCCAGACTGCCCAGGGCAGGATGAGGTACTCGCCCCAGTCCTGTGGAAGAGGGACATGGGTTAAACTTCCTAATTCAGCTGCGGGGCCGGCGAAGCCTCTGCCGTTTAGGGGCCATTCCCCCGGCTGCCGCGGGCCCCTGCCCTCCCCGGTGGCCACCCGCTAGAGGGAAGCAGCTCCCGCAGGCTGCGCTCCGGCAGCGCCGAGGGCTCCACAGGAGCTGGACCGAGAGCGCGCACCAAAGGGGACCTCTGCCCGGAGACCCCCCAGCTCTCGGGGCAGCAGACGGGGCCCGCGGGGCCGGTCAGGAATGCTCGGAGCAGCCATCAGCTCGCTGAGCAGCCGCTTTGCTGCTGCCACAAAGGTGGCACTTGCTGGGGACACAGAAGCATTCCGCAGTTGGATGTGGCACCCAAGCCTGCGCCCCCGCTTCATGAGCTCTCATGGCACCCGCTTCCTTCCCGTGCACTCTTCCCATGGCAGCCCTCTACAAGGACTTGCATCACCCAGCTCACACCTCCCCGCAGCACTCCAGGAGCAAACACAACACAGAGACACCAGGGATGGGCAGAACAGAGAGGACAAAAGGAAACATGACTTAGGGCCCTGCCTTGCCCTTGCATGGCAAGCGTGGGGCACTAAGACAGCTCCCTTTCCTGTCATCCTTCAGGGGACAGTAGAGAGCGCTTCTCGTTCCCCTAACTGAAGCGCACGGCAGAATGTCAGTGGTGGTGGGTTGTACAGGGAAATGGTCTCTCCTAGGATGCATTGCACACAGCCCAGCCAGCTGCTCTGGGACCTCCCTCAGCCTTGGCCACTGCCTCCCTCACAAGTTTGGCCACGGCCACCACTCTCCTCTGGCTCACCTGCACCAGGCAAGCCCCTCTGTGTGAGCTTGGGCTCCCAGATTTGCTCTGAGCTTGCCAAGGCAGTCCCTGCACGCAGCTGCTAGCTTAACTCTGCTCTGCCTGACACGCCAGAGAGTGAAATACAACATTCAAACAAGAGTTCATAAAAATACTTTATCTTTCCATTTCAGCTGGCTCCCTTAGCCTAGCTACGTTTCAGGAGCAGACAACAGTAGCAACCACAATGTACTGGCAAGTCAAGGTGCCATGAGTAATGGGGACGGTCAGGGATAGCAGGAGTGGTAATAATCCACCCAGCAAAGCTTCCTCGGTCAGAAGGGGCAGTTCCATCAGCAAACCAGATGATCCATGTAGGTAAACTCTTCCATAGCCAAGCATTTTGTTGAGATTAAGTTAAAACACCCTGCCTACTTGCTATTATTTTCAAGACCTTCCATCAGTTTTTCGTATTTACTAGATAACTGAAGGAAGCTTGTCAAGACAAAATGTATTTAGCTACAGAAGTGAAATCTGCACCACAACTGGAAAAATGCATGATTCACAAGCGTGCAGTTGTCATGTGGACTCTATTAACCACATGGAAACAGACATTAATTAGATAATTTCCCTTTTAAAAATTAAAAAGCTAGAAAAGGGCAAGTAACCTTCACTGTTTATTGAGATCCACAAGTACACAGATTGTGTGCAATGCTTTCTGGAAACAGCAGAAGTAGAAGAAAGAAAGTTATTGCAGGCTATCCTTTACTCACCTTTCACCAAATTTCTGTGGAACACCACAAACCTTTTTCAAATTCATCTTCTCTTGCCTAGATGAAGACACACTTGAAATTCAGAGAGCCAGTTCTGGTTGGGCAAAACCAAAGCAAGAATCAAAGCTAGCTAGTACCAAGCATCTAAGTTTTGCCTTAGTGCTATGTTCTTCACCTAAAAGGTAAATCAGGTAGTTGTGCACAATTTACTACTTAAATTTTAACCCCAAGTTTGGAAGTCATTTAAGAGCAAAGTCAGAGAATTTATTTCAATTTGAACAGCAGTTGTCAGAACTGGGTAGACAGCATTTTTACAAAAAAAGAAAACACCAACAAAAAACACCCAAGCAACATAAAAATACCAAAGAGCAATTTTATTTAGCTTATTTGGCACAAAACTTACAAGAACGGTTTTGTTCCCTTCTTAAATTTAATACAACTAGCAAGGAAAAGAAGGCATACTAATACATTTAATAAGCTGTACAGCAAGTGAAATGTGGAAAGAGGCACCAGAAAGATCTACCAAAAATCAAAGTGCATGAAAAATACCTACTCTGAGCGCCTCATGGTATTGTATTAAGGCACCACTCCTTTAGAAGGTTTACTGGATACATCAAGTGTGCAACTTCTTGGTTTGGAATGTAAGAGTCCTTCAGCCTGTATCAGAAATGGATACTACAGCCTCTGGCCAGAACCACGCTTCTCCTTGTAAATGTTACATGAAGAGAGCTCTTTCTGCCCAACATCATCTCAGCCAGGAGCATCACTGTCATATGCTTTGAAGAAGCCACTACCAGTTATCACAGTGACCAGCATTCTACTTCAGAGTTTTAAGCTGAAGTACACACCAGGCCTATGAATTCTTTACAATGGTTTTATAGAAAATAAATGCTGCAGAGACAAAGGTAACATGGGACATATCAGTTACTACATTTAGATAATTTATCAAAAGAACATTTAAGGACTTCCTTGAGTATCTCTTTAAAAAAAAGAAGAAGAAAAAACACTGAGTAGTGTTATAATTCAGGATAATTAAATACACTTTTCAACAGAGTATTACAAAGCTTCCTTTAGGACTAGCTATCAAGTTTGACAAATTCCACAAGACTTCAGGAACACATGTAGAAAAAGCCCAATATTAGACAGTGGTAAGTGTTTTTCATAACTGGAAACACCGAACACAAGTACCTGTAGCTGCAAATCAGGTCATACTGGTGTGTATATATGCATATATACACACACACACATGCTGAAACATCATTACAAGAGCCAAAGAGACACCTTGGTTCCTTGTGGATTCTGCACATCACTACTAGAAGTTGCACCAGGTTTTTATTTCAGCATCTTCACCAAGAACTATTATTTTAAGAACCAAACCACTTCAGTTAGAGGAAGAGGTACCAGAGGCCAGATTTGCATCTAGCGTAAACAGGTTCCAAACAACCAAACCGAAGCTGCATCTGCTTCTTACCAGCTTTGACTTTGGTTTTGCTGCTCAGCTGGATCACCAGTCTCCTTTACTTGCAGGAAGAAGATTGAAAGGAAGTCAATGCCCATATCAAAACTTAAGTGGGAACCAGTAAATGCAGAATATTGTATCAAATCGTTGTACAACACCTCTACTGTAGAGAGTTTCAAACATCTCAGGAGCTTGAGACTGATTACCCTGAACTCTGGAAAAGCACATTTCTCTATGGACATGCAAAGGCATTTAAATATAAACCCTTGGCATTACAGTATTTCGGGGTTTGTCCGCTTATGGTGTAGACCTTAACTGTGTCCCCCACTATAAAACCAAAGCACCCTGGGACATTAAGAATTCTAAAGAGCAAGGGCTGGAAAGGGCACCTGGAAGTGATCTGCACATTACAGAGCATGGTGTTCCACACCTCTCTGACAGTTCAGTTTGCACTTCCCGGGATAACTTTCCCTAAGCATTTGCCTCAACACAGAGCTGTAGTTTTCAGTCACGCTTTTACCCCTGAATTATTTGCTACCACATAAAAAAACATGCCACAGAAGTGGCAATCAGGGCTAAACATTTAATAACATATCCTTTTTGTCCTTTGTTAACAATTACAATCAGCAGAAAGAAAAACTATTCACTCAACTCATTTATTTCATGATTTGTGTGTAAGTCATGGAGCAACTTAACATCGGTGTTATACATTTGTGCTTCCATTCTCTGGCACTTGGAGGAGGAATTCATTTCCAGATAATCACATCTTGCTGAAGCATTCCTTTGCATTTGTCCAAACCTGAATTCCCTTAAAAAAAAAAAAAAAGTTCAAAATCAATTGGTGGAAATATACCTCATTTGCAAACCTCCTCAACAGACTTTCTTCCACAGAAGGCCCTACAAAAAAGTCCCACAGCACTTCACAGGAGAATGAGGCAGAGAACACAGTGGAGCTGGACCACACTGCCTATTGTACATACATATCAACTAACACGATGCCGAGTTAGATTAGGACGGAATACGTGGGAGGTTTTACGCCAGTGACTTCCAGCCTTCTGTGACTGCAACGTTCCCCACTGTTGATCCCCTGCTGATATGATAAATACATAAAAGGCCTGGCCTTTCACCAGCCAAACGTACCTTTTTGCACATGCTAATCTGCATTACAGCATAGCTTATAAGGGCCTCCTTCAAATCATGATTCTTTTGCTCCTTAAACCGCTCGATGTCAGCCCAGGCACTTTTCACAAAGTCTCTGGAATTCAAAGCAATAATTTCTGTGAGGAAGCGTTTCACATGTTCTATCCTCAGCTCATCTTCCTTCCCCTGAACCTTCAGCAGAGAAGCTACATACGACAGAGTGCTCCATATCAGTCCGTAAACCAAGTCCTGCAATTATTATGCATCCCACAGCATCCTCATTTTATAACTGGCACTGCTACCTAATTCTCCATCTTCTTCTTCTTAAGGTTTTTAAACTACAGAATCAGTTTCACAGGATGCATGGGGTTGTTTTGTTGACTTGGCCTTTTTCTCCCCAGTAAGCATCACTGCCATATCCAACCAGCATAATTCAAAATACACTTTTTCCCCTCAGATTCTGTTGGGGTAACTACACATCTTTATGCTAAGATTCAGCACAGAGCACTGCACTTTCCTGTCAAGTCAGGATCTTTGTCTTTCCAATGTGAAAAATCACCTGTCATCAGGATCTGAGGCACTCAAGTACATCAAACAGTCACAACAAAAATTTGGCTTGGACAATTCACTTCAGGAATTAATTTTGTTGCTTTGGTGATGTGTCTTCAGGTGCCCTCAAAGTGGACATACATTTCTGTAATTCATAGCTTTGATTTGTGCTGGACTACACATATAAGGCAAATATTCACTCGAAAATTGCTTCCAGAACTACAAAAGCACACTTCTGTCAAAATGATTAAGAAATTGCATTTACTGAATGTCTTCTTGTTTTGAACTGTCCATGAACTAGTCTTATCTTTCCAGCTCTAATCCTAATATATTAGGAGACGCCACATTTACCCCTTGTGTTACAGGATGAACGTGTTCTGACACAACCACACTGGTTTAGGAATGTTAGCTCCTATTTTCCACATTCACATTCCTGAGGAAAATTTCATTAGAGCCCCAAGAAGCAGTTACTCAAACTCACCAGAAACCCTCTTTCACATGGGAGTCCCCCCATACGAGAAGCTGCAGAGTACGAGCTCAGGACCCACACACCAAACTAAACACTCTATTTGAAGCAAAACAGCTTTTGAGTCTTAGGCTATTCAGGCGCAGACCTACAAGTCCACCTGCTAAACATATTACTAGCTGAACATAAAAGCATGCAAGTCAGCCATTAGAGTGGGCTCAGTAACTGGGAAAGTCATCAGGTTTTACATAAGCCATACACTCTGACCAGAAGCTAACTGCATGTACTGTACTTTATTTCACAACTTGCAGCTGACAGGAGCTTTTATAGACAGCTCATAAACACCAAGAATATATTAAAAACACTTACAAAATGCAAACACCTTCAAGAGCATCCAGTTAAGGACTTTGGTAAAGACAAGTCCTGCATTTTCTTCTGAAAAAAAAAAAAAAATCAGGCCCATTTACCTGCCCTCCAGATTTTTAGACTTAAGTTGTTCTTCTCCTTCCTGTATCTGCTCTTCTAGAACCTTTATCTTGGCTTCCCTCTGCTCAGGAGTTTCCTGCCCAAAGAGCTTGCTGGTCATCCCTTTCAGAGAGAACGTTCTCACAGTCTACAAAACACAAAGACACTCTAGGTTTGGGATTCCTGAGCACAGCCACAAAGACATTACATAATTTTTACCAGCATTTGGGCTTATCCTTATTATTCAGCTGATTTTTTTGCTTTAACTTCCATTTTGTTAATGAAATTTATTTTAATTGATAGGTAGCTGTGGGAGGTATGGTGGTTCACATTAGACTGAGCAAAGTGGGGAGGAAGTAACTGAATGTTAAACTCTTGAAGGCTACTCTGTGGATTGACCATAAGTGAGTCATTCCACTGATACAGGTAACCTTTCAGAGCAGTTTTCCTACCGACGTAGGAAAGAAACTAACTCCTCCGTTCTGTACGAGAAAGAAAAGCTATAAAGTAAGTCCTGTATAGAATATCAATATATCCAACAGCAATATTAAGAGTTCTAAACACTTTTTTTAAATTAACATTTTCAGATAACATTTTAAGTAACATTACGTTCCGTATAGAAGAGACTAACACCACGTATCAGTTATCTGGTGTTCGAAAGGCAGAGGAAGCCTTTCAGAATTCCCAATGTTTTGATATTCAAGAATGAGATAGTTGTGGTATTCTGCTCAGGCCACATCTCCTATAAACCTTCACTTGCTCAGTACTCAAAAAAAGAAGTTCAGTACAAACATCTCACATCACCAAAGCCCAAGTTACTTTAAACTTCAGATGCCTACAGCTCATATGATATCACTTCTCAACAGCAGCAGCCAGCATGTTAGTGCCATTTAAATGTCATTCTAAGTAACTTGGCTCAAATGAAAAACAAATTAAAAAAAAAAAAAAGGCATCTTGGAGAAGGAAGTGGAAAAAGACTCACTCCCGTTGCCAGCTCCTCACACTGCTGTTTCTTAGATGTTAGGTCCTGTGCAGCCATTTCCAAGTCATATTGCATTAACTCGTGTTTCCTGCAAACTGCCCTGAAAAAGTAAGTAATGAAAGACCTGTCACATAATACATTGTTTTGCTACATTTCCCTTCATTTAAACTTCACAAATGGCATCGTGCTTTTTTGGTTTGGTTTGGTTTTGGCAGGCAGCACTTTCAGTTATTTATCATAAAATGCGTAACACTGCAAATGCTGTAGTTACACAAGCTTGGATCAAAGTATAAAGAAAGTTCTTAGTACAGCAGCATTCTGCTCGTCCTTTTAGACACATTCCAAGACACTCTCAGCAACAGAAGCCCTACCACCAACTTAAGGACACCACTGTAAAGTAGTTTTATTGAAAATACATTACAGGGGGAAAAAAAAAAAAAAAATCACAGCTCTGACACAAGATACCTGGAGATGGCACCTGTCACAGCAGCAATGTGCCAAGCACAAAATTCTCAGCATTTTATTTTTCAAACAATGAAACAAGAAACTGTGCTTCTAGACTCATATAGCACCTTTCATCTGGAAAAGAGGAGTTTCCTCTGACCACCTGCAGCAAGTCCCAGTCCTGTGTGGGCTGGCGAGGCCACATCCGTGCTCCGCTGCCGGATGCGCGCTCGTCTCCCTGGAGAGGTGATTCGTGCCCTGGGTTCCCACACAGCAGCCATCCCGCTCACCAACCCACTTCTCTACATATAACACTACTGGACCTCTACAAGAGGTCCAGAGCCAGCCTGTGGAGAGCAAAATAGCTTTAGGTGCAATCTTGCAGCGTAAAGCAACTTGCTTTTGTATCCACAATTGTAAGGGAGGATTGCTCTATAAAGGCTAACATAAAAAAAATACAAACAAAAAACCACCACCACACACAAAAAAAAAAATCAGTATTCAGACGTTCAATACTGTAGAAATTAAAGTTACATAGAGAACTTTGAAACTTGCTGGAATTTAAAATGGCTGTAGCAGCTCTGCTTGGCCTATCTCATTTGAAAGCTGCACATTTCAGCACATTGAGGCACGATTATACCAGAAGCTGAGGGAAGAGTGTAACCAGAGGAATAAACACCATCTCCTTCAGATTTTAACATTTCTGACATTTACCAATTTATCAGCTCAGTTCTAATTTGTATTGCCACCCACAAGGCAATCAAATATGAATAAGCAAAATAAGAGGTGAGAACACAGAGATTCTACAACATGGAAATCCCCACCTCTCTGAGAACAGCAGATGCCAAACTAAATTCAACACCAACACAATGTTAGAGGAAAGGAGCACAGCTTCCATTTGAGCTATATGACTCTGTACATACCGTAGTGCTTCTGCATAGAAGAGATATTCTTTCAGCTGATCTGCATAATGCTCCTCCTCTTCCAGGATGTCATCAATAGAAGCTGCATAGCTGGTGAAAAACACCATGGTTAAATATAAAGTTCCTTAATTTATCCTTCAAGGACTCACATAAAGTAACAAGGGAGGGCACCTGTTTGACAGAAACACCAGTCACAAAGTAAAACAGTGGAAGGCACTTCCAAAGAGGGCGTTCCTGTTGTTTTTAATTAAACTCTGAATCAGCTAATATAAACATTTCTGCAGGCCTGTTTCTTTGGTTGTTACTACAATGAAATTTTTGACAAAGACAAGATCTATGGTAAGTTTCCTGCTG